GCGGCCGCCGGCGGCCGGGCTTCGCGGCTCCCGTGGGCGCCCTGGAGGCTCGCCGGCGTGGGCGGGCGGCGCCCCTCGCCGTGGGTGGAAGCCCCGCGGCGGCGGGCGGGCCCGGCCGGGTCCGAGCTGGCCAATGCGCTCGGCTTTCGGGACGGGCTGGCGAGCGCCATCTTACTGCCCGTGCCGAGCGAGCGCGGGGCGGCCCGGCTCCCGCAGGAGGCCGCCGCGCGCCTGCGGGCTGCTTCCGCCCTGACTCGCTGAGGCGCGGAGCCCGGCCACCGCGACTTCCTGTGGCGAGCAGAGGCTCGGGAGGCCGCCCTCGGCGCCGCAGCCCGGCCTCCATCTTGCCTCCCTGTCCGGTAGAGGCGGCCTTGATGGCGGCCCGGCCGAGCGTCACCGCGACACCTACACGAGAGCCCTGAGTCGCGGGCTCGGTCCTCCAGAGTTAGGAGACGGGCCCGAGACCCTGCCACTCCGCAGAGGGTGGAGGAAGGGCCGGGCGGCAGGCACTCGGCTCTGCTGAACGCTGCCAGGCGCGCGGCGCTCTGGAAGCAGAGGCAGGAGCATCTCCGTGAGTTAGAGGCCAGAGTGAGGGCTGTGCAGCGAGACCCTGCTCAAAACGGTGAAAACTAAGATGAGCAAACAAGTGGAGCCGGGCAGTCCTGGCGCGCGCCTGTGGTCCCAGCACTGGGGAGGCAGAGGAGCCTGGTCTGCAGGGCAAGTTTGAGGAAAGCCAAGGTTACACAGAGAAATTTGTTCCAAGACAGCCAAAACTGCACACACAAACCCTGTCTCGAAGGAAAAGAAAGAACTTCTCGCTCTTTTTTGTTGTGTGGAGACAGGAGTAGTCTGTGGAACTAACTTTATAAACCAGGCTGGCATCGCACTCCAGATATGCCCCTGCCTCTGTCTCCTTGAGTGCTGGGATCAAAGGCGTGGCCACCACTACTCGGCTTTTTTTTTTTTTTTTTGTCTTTAAGGAACAGAGTCTTATTGTGTATCCCAGGCTAGTGGAAAACCAGCACCCTCCCTTTCTTTCTTCCAGTGTGGGATTCCAAGTGCTTGCCCCCGCCAGGATAGGAGGTGTGGAGTCCGCTCTACTTGCTTGATTCCCCGCAGAAAGCACCCTTACACACTCAGCCATCAGGCCTTAGGGCTGTGTTTTTAAGACCCACCAGTCTGGTAGAGCAGAACTGCAACACCCTTACACTGGGCAGTGGCTGAAACTAGAGCTTAATTGAAATTATAAATTCAAGAGTAGCCCGGACTACGAAGACTTTCTAAAACAATTACATGCAATATACACATACCTATTTTGTTTTGTTTTTTGAGACAGTTTCTCTGTGTAGCCCTGGCTGTCCTGTAATTCACTCTGTAGACCACGCTGGCCTTGAACTCACAGAGATCTGCTTCTGCCTCCTGAGTGCTGAGATTAAAGGACATGTGCTGGAAATAACAAAATCTGGCTGGTTGGGATGGTTCTCAGGGTAACCTTTTGCCAACCAACCTGAATGAATACATGAGCTCAATATCAGGTTCCATTTGTTCAGAGTACTCACCTCAAAAGCTGCCCTCTCTCCTACATACACACAGACCTGTGTCCTTCCCCAAAATAAACAGTACACTCCAAAAGCTCCCTTCTCACTGACCTATATATACACACACACTGGTTTGTGTTCCCCCAAAATAAATAAGTACAATTTAGTTTGGATCTTTTTTTTTTTTTTCCAGAGCTGAGGACCAAACCCAGGGCCTTGCGTTTGCTAGGCAAGCGCTCTGAGCTAAATCCCCAACATAAGTACAATTTAATAAGGGAAGAGACTAGAGAAAAGAGAGCAGCAGGAGCAAAAACACTTCCTGGAAGAGACTACTCATCCTTGCAGAGCAAGCTCTGGTGAGCCTCCAAGACAGCTGGGTGTTCAGTGCCAGGCCACGCCTCGCTAACTCACTGCAGGCCTAAACACCAAGCTGTCTATCAGTGCTCTAGCCTGCTTTCTAAGGGCTCACTGTAGTCCAGGTGTCCTAGAGTGTGCTGCTCCTACTTGCTGCCTCCGGAGCCTCAGATTAGGGGTCTCCTTAGGCCTGCCTGCTTCTGACTCTGGAGTGTTAGAATTGACACACACATAGTTTTAAAACAGCTTTGGAGGCCAGGTGGCCATGGATCCTTGTAATGCCAGGATTTGGGAGTCCAAAACAGAAAAGGCAAATAGTGCGCTGCAAGTTCAAAGCCAGCCTGACCTACACTGCTGATTCTGGGCCATTTGTGGCTTCACAGTGAGACCATATCTCCAAAATCCAAAAGAGAGTACACAGAGACAAAGAGTTGGAGGCCAACCTGGGCGTGGTCTGCTTGAAGCATGTAGGCTAAGGAAACCTTGTTTCCAGCCCTACTACTAAGAGAAGAGAACAAAAAGAGGAAGAGAGGGAAAAAAAAGATGAAAGCCCTGAAAAATGTAATAAAAAGGACTGCAGCAAACCAGGCTTTTCAGTATGGACTCAAAGGAACCCATGAGAGTCCTAGAACAGGCTGCAGATAGTCTTTGCAATCAGCAATGTTTTGCAGGATGAACTCTGCACGAGTTTCCTCTCAGAGACCGACTCATACTAGCCTAGACAGTGAGCAGTCTTCACAGGCAGGCATCAGTCCTGTAATTAGTTCACGTGGTATCGATGGGCTCCTTAACTGGGAGCCAAGATCAAGAAAACAATTTTAGGTCCAGCATAACACAGACCCGTCGACCTGGGTAGCTAGGACTGCTCCAGGCCAGTCAAGGCTACATAGGAAAAGCCCCTACTCAAAAAATAAAAAAAAGATAATTTAGGGGCTGCAGCCCAGACGGTCAGGAATGCTTGCTGAAGCTCCCAAAGCCCTGGGTTAGAGCCACAGCACTGAATTAGCTGGTCATGGCGGCATTTCCCTGTAATTCCAACCCCTGGCGTCACAGGTAGGGGATCTAGAGTTCATGGCTACTCTCCCGAAATCCAGGCTTGAGGTGCCCTTCCCTTAAAAAATCAAACACCCAGGAGCGGGTGTAGTGGAGCACCTTTAATCCTGCAAGCCCCGCCCTGGGAGGCAACGGTAAACCGATCTCAGAGAGTTGAAGGCCAGCCTGGTCTACACAGCGAGCTCCAGGCAGCCATGTCTACACGGTGTTGGTTCTTTCTCCAGCTGAAGCCTACATTGCCTCTTCTGAGGAGAGCTGTGGGAAGGCTGTCTCTGAGGCAGGAAGTGTTAGTAAAAGGAGGGCAGCAGCCGGAAGGCGGTGGCTGTGGTAGGCTCTGAGGTCCCCTCAGCCGTCCAGGACAGTTGGTGGCTGCCCTGCGCTCTTGGGGCGGCTTGAGCTCCAGGGGGGAGGACAGGTGCCCTAAGTCCCCGGCGCACCCGCGGTGCGGGCAGGAGGCCCGCGGTGTCGTCCTGGCGGGGACCAGCGGGACCTTGACCTCGCCGAGCCGCGGGCTGGGGTGGAGGGCGTTGCTCGGCGCCCGTCTGCACTCTGGAGGACGCAGAGGCCGTGCTGAGTGGGGCAGGGGCAGCCTGGGTCGCCGGGGTCTGGGTGCATCGGTGTCTGAGTACCGTGTCCGTGCCCACCGGCCTGCCGGAGAGCACCACACTCCAAGTCCGCGGCCGGGGGCCGTGCGGGGGCCGACGCCGGGCGCTGCGCGCGGGCCCGGCCCCGGCCTTCCCTCCTCCAGAGTGTCCTCGGCTGACCCGGAGACCCTACCGGGGCCGGGCCACCATCGGGGCGGCTCCCTCCCGGAGGGCTCCGCGGGCCGCCCAGCGGGGCCGGCCGCCGTTTGAACGTCGGCAACTGTAAGTCGCACTTTTAACCAGAGCCGGAGGGGGTCTTCCTCCTCCCCCGAGGCAAGCAGCCCCGGGGCTCCGCGCTCCGCGCGCCCAGTACACACCGAGTAAACGCCCGTCCGCGCCCGGCTCGCGGGCCGCGGGGCGGGTCTTGGCCGCTTCCGGCCGGGCGGGGCCCTGCTTGCCCGCCCTCCGCCTGGAAGCCAGCTCCAGCTCGCTGGAACCGGGCTCCTCCCGGAAGTTTCCACAAACTTCTCCCGGAAGTTTCCGCACAGCCCGGCGGGACCTGGGCGGGCGGTTCCAGCAGGGGAGAGGACCCGCAAGGCCAAGTGAACTCCGCACCGAGTCGGCCTGAGGGCGGAGGAGAGCAGGGACAGGACGGGGGCCACGCCCGCCGGCGCCGCCTCCTCCGAGCCTCGCCCTGCTCGGCGGGCCAGGCGCAGGGCCCCGGAGGCTTCCCTCGCTGAACCAGGCGTCCACGTCAGCCGCTGGCGTTGGAGGTGGGGGAGCCAGGCGAGGCGGAGCCAGGCGAGGCGGAGGCGGTGAAGAGCTCGAAGCCAGTCTGGTCTCCATCGTTCCGGGGCAGCCAGAGCTACACAGTATGAGCCGCTTTCAAAAAACCCAAGATTATGAAAGAGCTGTGGGACTCTGAGCCGTTGCAGAGTCAGGTTGGCCTCGAACTCACATACTGGCCTGTCTCTGCCCCGCACCCCCAGGTGCTGGCTTCAAAGATGCGCATTACCACATCAGCACCGCCCTACTGTTTTTGAGGGTGCCCTCTAACACCCTCCGCGGCCATCAAGGACTGAGTTGCCCCCGGCCCTGGGGCTTCAGCCGGACCCCACCCACCCACCCCCGCCACGCATCCTGGAACTGTCACAGCCGTCTCTGTGGCTATATCTCTGGGTTCAACCCAGACTCCCTCCGGCCAGATTCTGCAGCCGGCAGTATTTTTAAAGACTGGATTTGATTTTATGAGACAGGTCTCACTTTGTGCAGCAGAGTGGCCTGCGTCCTGAATCCTGGGTTTTTAAAGGTGTGCCTCTCTACACCTGGTGCTTAAGGGTTTGAGGTCAGGAAGGTGTCACCCGCCCCAGAACACACACTTAGTAAAGGCCAGCCCCCCAGCCCCTTGCCATTTGCATTGTTTTGTTTTCATTTTTGAGTCAGAGTGCCCAGCAACCCTGGCTGTCCTGGCTAGCCTGCCTCTGCCCCCAGAGTATTGAGATTAAAGGTGGGGCTACCATGCTGTTTGCATTGCTTTCTGACCACCTCTTGAGCTCTGCTGTAGCATCTTTAACTTGCAGTCAGCCTCTAACCACAAATATGTCCGTAGAGAGCTATGTTTACTCTGGAAAGTGTGATATGAGTAATTAGATTGTGGTCACACGCCTTTGACCCCAGCACTGAAGCAGCAGAGACAGGTGCATCTCTAAATAGGAGCCCACCTGGTCTATATAGCAGGGCTACCAAAAACAAAACAAAAAACCCAACAAGGTTTGAAGAAAAAGCTCCCAGCCCTCAGGGAGGCAGAGGCAGGCAGATATCTGTGACTTCCAGGCCTGGTCAACAAAGTGAGTCCAGAACAGCCAAGGCTACACAGAGAAACCCTATCTGGAAAAACAAAACCAACCAAACAATTCTAACATTGTAAAAAGAAAAAACCAAATTCATCGAGTCTAACATATTTATGTTGAGGTGTGGCGGGGGAGGGAGACACAGGCCAGGCTGGCCCTTGCTTGCATGTGCATGGAAGAATTACCTTGAGCAGCTTTGGTTGCCCTGGCCCGCCTCAGGAATGCTGGGAATGCTAGGTTTGGACCACCGGGAGTGACTCTCTAACCTTGCCCACCTTCCTTCCGATTCTACAGGAGCGGCTGGCGAGTTGATTAGAGCAAGTGTGTAGGAAAGCCTGGTATGCTCCAAGTAGGTTCTTTTCTTCCACCATGTGGTCTTCAGGGTCACCGGAGGCTTGGTGGAAGGCACCTGTACCCACAAGCCATCTTCTGGCCCCCTTTCTTTCTCGTTCTCTTTTTTTTTTCTTTTTTTATTTGTGGTATTCTTTTGTTACCTAGCCTGGCCTAGAACTCCTGAACTCCGTTGAGGCCACCTCACTTCTGTGTGTTTTTATTTAAAAATGACCAGGAAAAAAGAACTACACAGCAAACCCATCATCTCAGAGGAGACCATTGTTAGCATGAAGGAAAATTGTAGTCTCCCATAGGACAAGATGGACCTGATTACAGTAGAAATCATGAAGGCAGATGTAAGTGGCTGAAGTCTAGGCAACAACCACAGTGGCACATGAGGCTGTTGAAGATGAGAGAAGGAAACTCCAGGGAGGGTAGGCTAACTCACACTATCCTTTCTGTCTGTCACACATTTGGTTGGTTTTGTTCCTGAGTGCGTGCTAACAGGCATATATGTTAGCGGTGGTGTAAGGACAGCCTGTAGGAATCTGGGCATCACACCAGGCTGTCAGGCTTGGTAGGCAGCTGAAACATCTAACTCAGAGCCATCCACAGACGATCCTTAAATTACCTACAGCGTGAGTTCCTGGACAGCCAGGGCTGCTCCGAAAACCTGCCTTGAAAACCAAAACAAAAGATTTATTTATGTTTAATGTGTGTGTGTGTGCATGGCGTGGCTAAGGGACAGCTTACAGTTGGGTTTTTTCTCCCAATATGTGAGTCCCTGGGACCAAACTCACACTGCCAAGTTCTTACAATAACGATTTTCCCGGGTAACAAATCTGGCAGTGTTCCTTCCATCTCTCCCTCAGATCCTAGGATTACAGGCTCCTGCCACCACATCAGCCATTGCTTCGCTACAGGAAGAGGCGGGCGTCTCCCTGGCCAGGCAGACACTCCACCACAGAGCTATAATTCCCAGCCCTTTATTTTGATGACCTTATTCTCTGGGCCTCCATGTCTGCTGCAAACTGGATACAAATATCAAGTCTTCCCTACATATTGTCGGGCAAGGCAGTGTTCTTCCTGTTGCACCATACAAGGGCCAAGTCAGACACATCACAACGTCTGATTCAGTCTCTGAAGCAGCTGGAGGAGGCCTAGCCTGAGGGGGTGTCTGTAGCCAGCCACCTAGGAGCCAGAATCTGAGCACTGACTGCTTGCTGACCTTTGTTGCCACTAGCCTGCGTGGGCACATGTGGGTTATGGTCAAGACTAATGGCAGCATTCGGAGCAGCAGTGCCTGTGTTATTCTGTCCCTTCAAGTGGGCTCTGTACCTAGCAGGGCCACCAAGCCAGAGGACGATTCCCAGGATAGAGGTGGAGCCATTAAAGCCTGCTCAGAAAATCTGTCTTGCACTCTCCACAGAAGAAACAGGATGGCTTCCTCTTTAGTTCTGGATTTAGTGGTTTGTTTTTTGTTTTTTTGTTTTGTTTTTGACAAGGTCTCTTTCTGTAGCCCGGGCTAGATAATCTTCCTCCTCCAGTGTGCTAGGAAAGCATTCCACTACAGAACCATGTTCTTAGCCCTTCACAATTTTGTTTTTGAGACAGGGGGTGGGGGCGGGGCAGCTGTGGTGGCACTCACCTTTAACCCCGGGTAGTTCCATCTCAGAGCTGGAGGCCAGCCTGGTTCCCAGGGCAGCCAGTCTGCACATAGAAACCCTGTCTTAAAAAGAAAGAAAAAAGGGTCTCACACTACCATAGGCTGGCTTTGAATACATTTTTTAAAAAATTTGTTTTTGTTTTGTTTCTGAGACAGGGTCTCTCGGAGCCTTGGCTGTCCTCAGACTCACTTTGATTTGCCTGCCTTGACCTCTTGAGTGCTGGCATTAAAGACCTTTGCGTTTGAACTTGCAAGGGTTGGTGCTGTGGGTAATTTTTGTTTTGTTCTTTTCAGACAGGGTTTCTCTGTGTAGCCTTGGCTGTCCTGGACTCACCTGTAGGCCGGGCTGGCCTCCAACTCAGAGATCTGCCTGCCTCTGCCTCAAGTGCTGGATTAAAGACTTGCACCACTGCCACCACTCAACTAAAGATCCCTTTTTATTTCACGTGTGTGAGCGTCCGCCTCCCCTGGAACTCTACACCAACATGTTCCCCCGTGGGCTGCAGCCAGGTCTGCTGCAGGAGGGAGTCCTGCACGAGTGTCACAGTGTATCTGTGGGAATCAGAGAACACCTTTTACCGTGACGCTCTCCCAGAGCGGTGGTCCTAGCTTGACGTCCCGCAGAGCCACACCGCCAGCCCAAACTAAACCTCCGGAGGTAGAACTCAGAAAAATGAGCAGGCTGAGCAGCGCGTCCAGGCAACAGCTCTGTGAGCGACAGCATGGGGGTGGGTCTTCTGGGAAGGGCTGGTCCCTCACTCCTGAGAGAGATAATTACTCCTCCCTCTTTGTCTCCTGTTGAGTCACCTTCCTTAGGCCTTGCCCTCCTGACCAGGTGATCTGCAGGCCCAGCTGATAAACTCTTACCGGAACAGATCCAAATGTCACGTCTCCACCCAGGACCAGAGGGCAAACTCAAATTCCATTCTTTTGACCAGGAGGAAATTGCTTTCCCTTGGGCCGGTCATACCTCCACCTTTTTATATGGTACTAAAATCCCACACCCAGGTAGATGTGATTTTCCTGGGGAAACAGGAAGTGGGGTCCAAAACTAAAGACAAGGTAGGTGTCCATTCTCAACAGCTCCCTAGACTACTTACTAATCACTACCTTGTCACCTAACATCAGCCCTCCAAGAGCTGAGTTGATCTAGTCGCTAAGGGCTAACAATGGGGCTTAAGGAGCTTCTGGTGTTGCCTGGCGGCTGACAGATCTCTGTGAGTTTGAGGCCAGCCTGGTCTACAAAGCGAGTCCAGGACAGCCAGGGCTACACAGAGAAACCCTGTCTAGAGGGGGCTGAAGAGATGGCTCAGAGGTTCAGAGCACTGTCTGCACTTCCTGAGTTCAATTCCCAGCAACCACATGGTGACTCACAACCATCTCTACTGGGATCTGGTGCCTTCTTCTGGTATGAAAGGACACATACAGACAGATTATTTCATACATAATAAATAAATAAAAGACCTTCCGGTGTCTACTCTTGCAGACTCCCAGGACATGGAGGGTAATGGCGGGCAGAATTAAGTAATTGCCAGGCTATCTTAATAGTGTCGATTGTGAGAAAGGAGAGATAAATTTGAGAGTGGTAAAGGGAAAAACCAAAGGTTTATATATAGCATCTTTACTAATAATATAATAGAATTATATTATTATATATTTATAGTTATATAATTATAACAGAATAAAGAATAACATAACAGCGCCCCTTGCTAATCTGAGTGCTGTCCACACAAACGGTGTCTGTACACTGGAGTCTGTCCCGCCTGAGGAACACAGGGCAGATGTATAAAGAGGGAAAACTGGAGCCTCGAACAGGTCTGGCTTTTCTGGCTTCTGGCGGAGGACAAGAACTAAGGTCTCTGTCCCTCAATTGCCTGCCCAGTTTCTCTCCTTATCATCTTGAGGACAAATTGGTCTCTGAAGGACATTCCAGGATAGTGGCGGAGATTCTGTCTTACAAACGCTAAAAAGAAAATGGCGGCCCTGCCTGTCATCTAAGCACTGGGGAGCCAGAAGGAGGGAGGGAATTGGCATCAGGGTCAACCTTGGCTGTACCCCATTTGCGACAAGCCTGAGTGAGCCACAGGACACAAGAACAGGCCAGGTGATGGTGGTGCACACCCTTAATCCTGGCACTCAGGAGGCAGAGGCAGGTGAGTTTCTGAGACCAGCCTGGTCTACAGAGCTAGTTCAGGGCAGTCGGCCCTACACAGAAAAGGCCCTGTCTCAAACAAACAAACATTAGAGAGAGAAAGGAAGAGGCTGGAGCCATGGCCCTGGGGTAGGAGCACTGACTGTTCTTCCAGAGGGCTCAGTCCCAGCACCCACGTGGCAGCTCACAGCCAGTACCTATAACTCCAGCTCCGGAGAATCCAGTGCCTTCTTCCGGCCAACTCCTGCATCTGAACACACGTGACACATACACACAAAATCAAAAATTAAAAAAAGAGGGGGCTGGAGAGAGCACAGACATTAAAAACATTCTTAATGTTCTTCTAAAGGTCCTAAATTCAATTCCCAGCAACCACATGGTGGCTCTTGACCATATAGATCTCTAAAGTGAGATCTGGCGCCCTCTTCTGGCATGCAGGCAGAACACTGCATAAATAAATAAAAAATTTTTAATAAGTTTTTTGCTGCCCTTAAGTAGGTTGACAAACAAGCAGCTCTCCACAAGCCTGATCTAGAATAAGTTCCAGGACAGTCAGTGCCATACAGAGAAACCCTGTCTCAAAAAAAAAAGCCAAAATAAGTACAAAATAAACAGGCTGGGGTGGTGGCACACATCATGTAATCCCAGCACTGGGGAGGCAGAGGCAGATGGATCTCTATGAGTTCGAGGCCAGCCTGGTCTTTAAAGTGAGTCCAGGACAGCCAGGGCTACATAGAGAAACCCTGTCCTGAAAAAAAATAAGCAAACAAATGAATGAATTGTGGGGCTGAAGAAAGATGGATCAGCAGTCATGAGCACTGGCTAGCTGGGCCTAGTGGCAGCATTCAGGGAGGCAGAGGCAGGTGGCTCTCTGTAAGTTCAAGGCCAAGCCTGGTCTACAGAGCAAGTTCCAGTAGAGTCAGGACTACACAGAAAAACCCTGTCTCAAAAAAATATACCAGACAGGCCTCAGGTGACTCGGTTGGCAAAACGCTGGACTTTAAGTCTGGAGGTCTGGGTTCAAACCCAGTCAGAGCTACTTTGTGCCCGGTAGGCACACCTGTGATCCCAGCACTCAGGAAGCAGAGGCAGGTGGAGCTTTGTGAGTTTTAGGCCAGCCTGGTCTAAAGTGAAGTGAGTCCAGGACAGCCAAGGCTACACAGAGAACCCTGTCTTGAAAAATAATTAATTAATTAATTTTTAAAAAATTGAGGTCAGATGTTGGTGACACACCACTAACCGCAGCACACAGGAGGCAAAGACGGGCTGATCTCTGTGAGTTTGAAGCCAGTCTGGTCTACAAAGAGTCCAAGAAGGCCAAGGCCACACAGAGAAAGTCTGTCTCAATATAAAGCAAAAATTAAAAAAATAAAAAAGACTTAAAAAATAGAAAGCATAAATAAGACAAAGAATAGTGTAAGGACCAAAGTTATGTTTCAGGTTTAAATTACTGTGCTTAAGAGATCCAAAGACAGGAGATAGTGGCACACACCATTAATTCCAACCCTGGGGAGGCAGAGGCAGATAGAGCTCTGAGTTCCAGGCCTGCCTGGTCTGCAGAATGAGTTCCAGGATACACAGAGACACCCTACCTTGGAGGGGGCAGGAGAGGGGAAGAGGGAAGGAGGAAAGGATGGAGAGAGAGACAGATCTATAAAACTGAAATGCCTCTAACCTGTAACCCCACTTGCCCAAGGACAGTAAGTTCCTGGAATGCAAGCCAGGCGTTTTTTTCTTCTGTAAACAGCCTGGTTGCCCCAACTGCACAGGACCTGCCTGACGACAGTAGGTGGGAGATGCAATATAGCCAGGGAGCTGTCAGGATCTATGCTCGCCCTCATTGGCTGAAGGCAGGTGATATGTAGGGCTGCAGGTTTCGCCTTTGGCTAAGGTAATTCACAGCCATACTCTGGGAATTCTGGGTATGGGCAGGTCCAGTGCCACTGTCCTGGCTTGTATTTAATAAAGCCTGCTTCAAGGTTGTGGTGGTGGCCTTTCTCTCCCGGCGTGATTAACAATAGCTGGTAAGTGGAGTTGAGTGCCAGCCCAGGGTCTGAGCCCCAGAATTTAAGACAACAAGCAGGAGCCATACATGGTGGCTCACTTCTTTAATCCTTGCACCAGGGAGGCAGAAGCAGGCAGAACTCTGTAAGTCAAAGGCTTCCTCATCTATATGGTATTTCAAGATATCTGGGACTAAGTAACGAGACCCTGTGTGTGTGGGGGGGTGGATAGAGAAAGGAAGAAGAAAACATCCAGGCCTGGTAGTAGCACATGCCTTCACACCTTTGATCCCAGCACTAGTGTGGCAGAGACCTCAAACTCCGTGAATTTAAGGCTAGCCTGATCTACATAGTGAGACTGCCTTTTTTCTTTGTTTTGTTTTTGTCCCCTGAGACAGGGTTTCTCTGTGTAGTCCTGGCTGTCATGGAACTCACTCTGTAGACCAGGCTGGCCTCCAACTCATAGAGATCTGCCTGCCTCTGTCACCCCAGTGCTGGGATTACCAGTATGCCGCATCCAGCCTGGTTTGAGACTGTGCCAAAGGCATGCCTCTTCTTACCATGTACTTTAAGATGGTGGTTTGAGGAGAGAAGTGGGAAGGCTCCGGCACATGTCTTTTAAACTGTTTGTAGGTAGTAGTAGGATGTGAAGACATGGAGAGACCCTTTCCTCACAATCCAGATACTCTCCTTTACACTATGGCTACCTGGAGAAGGAAAAGGCCTCATGAAATAAACCTCCCTGGGACAGACTTCAGACAGAGGCTAATAATGAGGTAGCTGGCCAGAGAATTTCTGATCTTCTCACTCTCTCTCCCTCCCCCTTTTTTTTTTTTTTTTTTTTGTGTGTGTGTGTGTGTGTGTGTGTGTGAGACAGGGTTTCTCCTTGTAGCTCTGGCAGTCCTAGAACTCACTTTGTAGACCAGGCTGGCCTCAAACTCTTATCTGCCTGCCTCTGCCTCTCTCTGCCTCTGCATCTGCCTCTGCCTCTGTCTCTGCCTCCTGAGTGCTGGAATTAAAAGCGTGCTCCACCATGCACGGCTTGATCTTTTCTTTTCTTTTCTTTTTTTTTTTTTTTTTTTTTTTTTGTTAGATGCTGTCTGGAAAAACAAAAACAAACAAACAATCAAAAAGAGTGCTAGATACTACAACAGGAACGGAAGAAAAGAAGAGAGGAGAGGACCAACAGCAGTAGCACTTTAACACACTCAGCTTGGTGGCCCAGGCCCTGGTGGAAGGCAGAGGTGGGACTGACCCAGGTTCCAGGCCATCTTCATCTATATCCTAGCACAAAAGGAAGGCGGGAAGAAAGGCAGGCACCTCATTCCTGTGTCCTAGACTTGATTCTTTGCTTCAAATGTGACAGGTTAGCTTGATGAATAATCCCGGCCCTCGGAAGGCCGAAGCAGGAGGCCAGCCAGGCATGGGCACACACATGTAATTGCGACCTTATCAGGCCCGGAAGAGAATGTGTCCAGTTGGTGTTCAGTGAGAGAGAAGGGCAGAGTGCACGTGGCAATGCACACGCCTGACGTCTCCCTGTACCCTCCTCCAGCACACTCATGCCACCAACCTGCTCATGTGTGACAAACAGCAGCGTCAAACCCTGTCTGAAAAACGAACTGACAAGCCTTGCTGTTGACTCAGTCCTGGAATCCTGTCACTCAGGAGGCACGGTCAGTAGGGTCAGAAGTTCAACACTTTATGGCTCAAGCCCGGGACCAGTTTCGTTTAGGGTCCTGCCTGCACGTGTGCCTGAAAGAGGGCACCAGATCTCAGCACAGATGCTTGTGAGCCACCAGTGGCTGCCGGGTATTGAACTCGGGACCTTTGGTAGAACTACCAGTGCTCTTAACCTCTGAGCCCCTAGGGGACCGGTTAGGTTACACAGGGTACCTGAAAGCTCTCCCTCAGGTCTCTGGGCCCTTGCTACCTCTACCTAGGCAGCTCCTCTCCTGCTCTCCCTTCCCTTCTCCGCTCTCATGGTTTGCTGTAGTCTGCCGGCCATGTTCAGCCTGGACTCTTTCCTCTGCCTGCTTTCTCCCTATGTCAACAGGAGAAATCTTCTCCACACCTTGGGACCCCAGGGGTGCCCTTCCTCCCTCCCTTCCTTTCTCTCTCTGTCACTTTCTTTCTTTCATTCCAGACAAGCTTGGGCTACATAAGGCTCTTCCTTCATCAAACCAAACCAAACAAACAAACAAAAAATCCTGCCTAACTTCTCAGAGATTGTTTCTGGGTGTGGTAGTCTGGGAATTTGGGAGACTGAGGCAGGAGAGTTGAAGTTCCAGCTACATTCCGCTCAGATTAGCCTGTCAAGTTGGTCCTCCCCTGGCTCTAAAGCCCCAAGCAGCCAAGGAAATGCGAAGTTACTTTAAACAGCTTGAGAGACTGGCTGGGTGGCTCAGTGCAGAAAGTGCTCGCTGTCTAAACCTGGGGGTCTGAGTTCAGCTCTCTACCATTCTGGTAGAAGCCAGCACTGTAGAGGGTAACTGTAACTCCAATGCCAGGGAGGCAGAGATGGGCTGAGATCCCTGGGGCTCACTGACCAGCCATTCTAGCTGAAAAGATGGGCTTCAGGTTCATCAGAGACTGTCCCAAAAAAAGAGAGCAGAGAGACAGAGAAAGAGCTGATTTCAGCCTCTGGCTTCCACAGGCCTGTGCAAATGCGTGCGCACACACACATACACATACACACAAATAAAATGAAATTTTAGAAAAAGTATCCAGCTGGGCAGTGGTAGTTCAATTTTTTAATTCTACTCACCGCCAAACTGGATACTGAGTTCAAGGCTAGCCTGGTCTACAGAATGAGTTCCAGGACAGACAGGGCTACACAGAGAAACCCTCTCTCAATGACAACCCCCCCAAAAAAAATGGTACATATATGTTTTCTTTTGTTCTGTTGAGACAGGGTTTTACATAGTCCAGGCTGTTCTTGAGCTCCTGCTCTTCCTGATTCTGTCTCCTTGGTGGTGACTAAGATCACAGGAAGACACCACTATGCCTGATTTACTCCATTTGATTTGGATTTGAATTTACATGTACGTGTGGGAGGGCCCGAGTCTCTTGGGGACTGTGTTACAGATGGCTGTCAGCCTCCTGACTGGGCACTGAACTCTGGAACCCAGAGCCACCTCTGCAACCTCATCTACATGTTTTTTTTTTTAGTTTATCTTTTATTTACTTTTTAAAATTTTGAGACAGGGTTTCTCTGTGTAGCCCTGGCTGTCCTGAAACTTGTTCCATAGACCAGGCTGGCCTGGAACTCAAGAGCTCTACCTGCCTCTGCCTCCCAAGTGCTGAAACTAAAGGCCAGCTTTATTAATTTATTTTTGAGGCAAGCCTCACTTATCTCTGGTTGGCCTTAAACTTACTATGTATCTTAGGATGGGTTTGAATTTCCTGTCTTTTTCCCTTTATCTGCCTCTTTCTTGGATTGTAGGGGTAGTTTGATTTGTTTTTTTTTTTTGTCTTTTTTTTTTTTTTGAGATAGTGTTTCTCGGTGTAGTCTTTGCTGTCCTGAACTCACTTTTTACACCAGGCTGGCCTCAAACTCACAGAGATCGCCCTGCCTATCTTTTCTTATGGCAATGCTTTTTTAAAAAGCAAATTTCAAGCCTAATAAAGATAGTTTAATATGACCTTTAAATGTGACCGTTAAAAGAAAGAGGGGTACTTCAAAGTGGAGGCTACCCAAGGGCATAGTGCAGGCTAGAGTAAGAAATGTATTTTTTCTCGCTTGTCTTATTTAGATTCATTGTTTTCAGGCAAGTGCCCACCATGTAGCTCTGAAACTCGCCATGCAGACCAGGCTGGCCTTGAGTTCATAGAAACCTGTCTCTGCCCCTTGAATAGTGGAATTAAAAGCATGCACCGCCACACCGCACTTAGGTAAACTGTTTTGTTTTGTTTTTGTCTTTCTTTGTTTCTCTGTGTAGCCTTGACTAGCCTGACTCACTCTGTAGACCAGGCTGGCCTTGAACTCACAGCATCCACCTGCCTCTGCCTCCTGAGTGCTGGGACTACAGGTGTGTGCCACCCATCTTAGATTTTTTTTTTTTTAATTTTTACTTTTATTTTTTAGTACAGGGTCTCTTGTAGCCCAGTCTGGCCTCAGAGTCTCCTTGTTCCCAGGCTAATCCTGAACTGCTGAGGCCCCTGAGAGCTGGGGTTAGAGTGCCTTCTCACCCAGGTTTACTGCCCTAGGGATGGAATCGGGGCTTCCCCCACGATAGGTCGTTCTACCAGCCGAGCTCTGCAGTCTTACAACTCTGGGGAGAAAGTCATGGAGGTGCCTGTGGACGGGAGGGAAGAATGGGGACTGTTTGGGCCTCCACTGCCCTGTCCTTGTCCCTGTTGGTGGGGATGTCTACCTTTGCTCCCTGTACTCTCATCCTCTCTCCACGGGGTCATTATGTAGCCCCGGCTATGCTAGAGCTAGCTGTGTAGAGAAGACTGGCCTCAAACTCACAGACTCTGTCTGCCTCTACCCGAGAGGTCGGCTCGCAGTGTGTACACCACTCCTTCAGGTCTCCGTCCAGGGCATCCTCCCGTCTTCTGGAAGCTCTCAGTGTGGAGCTGGCGTCTCCTGCGTGTGGAGGTTCTAAGCGAGCCCAGTGCTGAGTGCGTGCTAGCCGGGCGCTGCTCTCCCGCCCGCAGTCCGCTGCGGCGGGGGAAACGCCCTTCTCTGGTGCACAAGGCCTCTGAGGGCGTGAGAGAAGTGGCTCCCTGGTCCCCGGGCTCCGCTCACTCGGTCTCCCCTGGCTGCGCGCCTTCCCCGCCACCCCCGGGTGCCCCTGGCACACAGGGAGGGCCTCTGAGGGGAAGAGAAGCAGGTGGCGCAGGAAACGGGAAGTTTGCATTCTGGCCGAGGGAACAAGACACCTTTGGACCTGTCAGGGGCCTCGTCAGCTGTCGGGAGCGCTGGAGCCGCGGCCGCGGCCCTGCGCGCACTCCAGCCGCCCCGGGCGGACCGCGGCAGCTCGCTGCTGCCCCCTGCTGCCGAGGACGCTGCGCCGGAGGACGGGCTCCTCTGGAAGCCGTGCTCTGTGCCTGCCCTGCTTCCCAGGACCTCCTTTCCCGGAACCCCCTCCTCGCTCCTGTTGCTCCCACACCCTGAGCTGGTCGGGACCAAGCTAAGTGCTTGGCTTTCTAACATCTGTGTGTGTGTCGTGGGAGCATTTGCACCCCGACCTGAGTTAGATTGCTGGCGGGGAGAGCAGAAGCTGAACCCTGAATCCCACGTGTGCATCCTGGCCTAAACACACACGCACAAGACATAAATAAATAAAACACACATCTTTTTTTCTAAAATGAAACATTAATTTCGTTAAAAGCTTCTGTGGATTATTGCCCCTTCCCCGCTATTCTTCAGGCTTAGCACTGGTGGGCACCTACAGGAACTACCCTGTGGAATGTGGGCAAAACAATGCAGACTTCCCCTCCCCCAGGAACAAGGACTATTCCTAACATAAGGCCACAAGGTCCGTGGGATTGCATGCCTTCAATCCCAGCACTCGGGAGGCAGAGGCAGGCGGATCTCCGTGAGTTCAAGGCCAGCCTGGTCTACAGGGAGAGCCAGAGCTACACAGAGAAACCCTGTCTCGAAAAACAAAAGAAAAGTGTACAAGCTGCATTTCATCAGTGGATTCCTGTGTTGTATGAAGCGGTCTGGCCTAAGGTTCTAAAGTATAAATAATAACTAGTTGTCCTCCCCACCCCCGCCTTTTTTTTTTTTTTAACAGCCTCACTCTGTAGTCTAGCCTGGCCTTGAACTTGTGGCAATCCTCCTTCCTTCATCTTACAACTGCTGGGTTTACAGATTTGTGACACCTCCTGATGTCTGTCCCAGTTAGAAGTTTTACTTTGCTTTTGACAGCACGCCTCACAGTGTAGCCCTCACTGGCGTGCGCCCCCAAACCTGGCTGGCTACAGTTTGTGAGACAGGATCTCATTCTGTATCTCAGACTGGCCTCAACTCAAGATCCTCTTGCTTATGGGTGCTGGTCCTATGGGCATACGTCATCATACACTGGCTTTTTTCTCATCTTACCGACAGGGGTGCTTGCTAACCCCTCTCTACCTTGTCACAGTTTTTTGAGCTTACCTGTCAACATCCGTAGTTTCCTATCTTTCTTCTTTTTATGTATGCCTGTGTGTATGTGTTGGATTTTTCAGACAGGGTTTGTCTGTGTAGCCCTGGCTGTCCTTGAATTCAGAGATCCGATGCCTCTGCCTGCTGGGGTTAAAGGTGTTCTCTCACATAGCTCAGGCCTACCTTAAGTTCAATATAGCCTAGGATGACCTTGACTTCCAGATCCTCCAGCCCCTAGCTCCTGAGCACTGAGATTTTAAGTGGTACCAGCAGAATGTGCCCATAACAGGTCCCCATCAGAATGTACGCCCAGCTCCAAGAAAACGACCTCAATGCTAAGACAAATCTGCTACAGTCTTTACCGTTTGCTGAATACTGTCTTTAATGGCTTTTATGAAGAACAGCCACCATGAATTTAATCAAATATCTCTGTAGTATCTATTGAATTGATGTGATTTTTTTTTCTTGCTTATCGTATTAATGGACCCAGAATAATCCAAAGCAAAACAGTGTAGTGAGTTCTGGGCAGCTTGCTTAGTTTTAGTTTTTCCTTTCATTCTCCCATCCTTCCATAGTGACTTATAACTCGGGCGTCTGAAACTTTGCAGTTTCATGTACTTCATACTTTCTCTGAACCCATTGTGTCTCCATTCTTAGCTCTTTTGAATCTCTATCCCAGACATCCACAGGCCAACCTCTACCCTTCCCGGTAACAGGGAGCAGAGAAAAGGCATGATGGTATACACCTGTAATCCCAGGCTTGGAGATGAGGAGGATCAGAAGTTCAAGGTCATCCTTAGCGGCCTAGTGAGTATGTACAGGAGGCTCAATAGCAAAAACAAAAAATAAAAAAAACCCAAAGCAGCAGCCAGATGTCACCTGGTGGTGCACGCCCTTAATCCCAGCACTTGGGAGGCAGAGGCAGGTGGCTTTCTTGTCAGTTTGAAGCTATCCCAGTCTACATAGTGAGTTCTAGTTTGTTTGAAACTGTTTCAAAACAAACAATCAAAACACAGCTAAATGTCACATCATAGTCCATGCTTCCTTCTTTTCTTCCTTCCTTCCTCACTCCCTCTCTTTCTTCCTTTTTTCCTTCCTTTCTCCCCCTAAGACAGAGTTTCTCTGTGTATCCTTGGCTGTCCTGGACTCACTTTGTAGACCAAGCTAGTTTTGAACTCACAGAGATCCCCCTGCCTTTGCCTCCCTAGTGCTGGGATTAAGGGTGTGTACAACTGGGGCTAGAGAGATGGTTCAGTGGTTAAGGGCACTGGCTGCTCTTAAGAATGGACCTGAATTCAGTTCCCACCAATTGTATGGTGGCTCACAACCCTGGGATCTGATGCCCTCTTCTGGCATGCAGGTGTATACATAAAATTAAATAAACAAGCCCCCCCCCCCTTTTTAAGGTGTATACCACCACCATCGGCTTGTTTTTTCTTTTCTTTTCTTTTTTTTTTTTTGTAACTTGTTTATTTTATTACCATCGGCGTTTTGCCTGCATATATTTCTGTGTGAGGTGATGGGTTCCCACAGAACTGGATGGAGTTACAGAGTTGTGAGCTGCCATGTGGGTGCTGGCAGTTGAACTGGAGTCCTCCGGAAGAAACAACCAGTGCTTTGAAACTGCTGAGCCAGCTCTCCAGCCCCAGTGTCTTTCCACGCCTTCAATGTCAGCACTCAGAAGGTAGTGGCAGGCCGGTCTCTCTTAGCTTAAGATCAGCTGTGGCTACACAGTGAAATCCTGTAAACAAATATCTCAGGAATAGGGAAGAAGGAAGAGCAGCCTCTCACTAGGGAGGCCTCTTGATTTCCTGTCTGTCCTTGAGAGTCAGCCTCGGGTTCGTTCTCCCCCAGGACTCTAGAATCCCTGCAACTGCCCGTTTTTGCTTTCCTGGACTCTGTCTTAAGTAAACTTAGTGAGTGGATACCCTGCATTTCTGTAAGAATGAAAACAGCCAGAGATGGCTCAGTGGCTAAGAGCACTGGCTGATTTCTAGAGGACCCGGGTTCAATTCCCAGCACCCACATGGCAGCTCACAACTGTAACGCCAATATCTGACACCCTCACACAGACATACATGCAGGCTAAAACACTCATGCACATAAAATTAATAAGTTTTACAAAGAATGGAAACAGCTATAGGGTGCTCCGAGAGCATCGACCAGAGAAGCTTCTTAGCATCTTTCCAGGACCCAGAGAGAGAACTGGGTCAGACCTGAAAGCCACCCAGAAGGCGAATAGGCGAATGGGCAAATGGGCTAGTGTTCAGTAGGGCACATTGGATGCCCTGTCTGTCCCCTTTGTGATCCGATACCTTCCTGATGTACTCTCCCAGTATTTTTGGATCCCTAAGGTCTCCTTAAGAGGCAAGAAGGCCCAAGGCGAAGTTAGAAGGGTGTGGGGTAGGGCGGAGATAGCCCGGTGCGATCTATGGGAGTGTTGCCCTTCTAAGACTCGGCTTGTGGTTCCCGTGTCGCCGTGAATGCCCATGGGTGTGTGCCTGTGTCAGTCTGTGTGTCGGGGCAAGGGCTCCCTGCGGTGGGCAAATGCGTTGGGAGGGGGTGATGGTGAGGGCCTGGCTCCTTCCCTTCCACCCCCGGCTCTGCTCCCATCTGGCCTTGATCAGCGGGTCCCCGGGGAGGGAGCCGCGGTTTCGGATGCAGGAAAATGTTCCAGGAAGCGGCCACTGTGCTGAACCCGGCTCGGGCTCCCCCAGCGGAAATTGTTCCGGGAGGGAGGAGGGGAGGGAGTGTTGAGATAGGATTGGGAAGGGAGGAGGGCGGCTCGTGGCTCCGCTCTGGGCGGGATAAAGCTGGGTGAATGGATGGGAAGCTCAGGTCAGCCAGGATCCTGGATGCTACGACCTCAGTCGTTTAATGCAGAGCTGGGAAAGAGGAAAAGGGTCCCCTTCCCTACTCCTTCCCTCCAGATCGCTTCTTTCGCCCTAACACGCAGGCTGGAGGCCAGAATCCCCGGGTCTTGCCTGAAAACCGCTCGGCTGCAGAGGGCGCCCCTCTCCTCTCCGCCCTGAAGGGGCTTTGAAGCCCGCGTCCAGGACGGGGAGGGATGCCTAATTGGGATAATGGAGGTTAATGGGGCGCCTGGAGGGGGTGGCCACGCTCCTAGATCAAAGAGGCCAGCTCCTCGCGACCACCGCCGCCGGGGGGAGGGGCGGGGCGGCGAGCCAGCCAGCAGGGGGTGCTCTGGGCTCGGCGTGCTCGCCCTCCGCGCCCGGCTCGGCGGAGAGCGGTCCTGAGGGTCTGGCTCTCCCGCGGGCGCCGGCCCCTCGGCGCACCAGTGCGGGGAGAGCCGGGCTGCACGCGCGTCGCGGGCTCACGAGGGCGGCGGAGGAAGGCCCGGCCGGGCGTCTGGGGCGCAGGCCGGGGCACCGCGCCCCGCCCCCGCCCTCCCGGGCTTGGCGCTCCCTCCCGGGCTCTAATCGGCGCGGCGGCCGCAGCGGGCAGAGTCAGCGCCGCCAGTCTCCGGGACGCGACTCCCAGCAATTGTGGTCGGGACCGCAGATATGCAGCTGCCTCCTGCCCGGGCGCCCGGCCCGGCGCGCCCCGCCCGCGCCCCGCCCCCCGCCGGCCCGCGGCCGGGGACACTGAGGCAGGCCAGGGCTGCCCCCGCCCAGACCTCACCGCCGGGCCGGGGGCGGCGGGACAGTGGCAGCCGGGCAGTGTCTCGGAGGGGAAAAGCAGGCACTGGAGAAGCGGGAGTGGGTGCTCTCCAGAGCCGCGGCGGGGTCCGAGGGATCCCGCCACAACACACCCCCCTTGGCTCACCCACCGCTCACCTTAGAGCGCTTCCTCTAGCTGACAGGAGCAGCTTTTCTCCCCTCCACTTCCGCCCTCCCTCCGACCCGTGACAACACTGACAGGTGTCAGTCTACGGAGCAAGTAGTTACAGTCACGAGGGCCGCAGGTGTGGTCTGGTGGTAGGTGTAGTTCCGTAGCGCAAGACCACGATTGATCCCTAGCCCCGGGTAGGTGGGTGGTGGGTGGCTCAGCTCGCATCTCCTCCTCCTCTTCTTTCTAGGCGGGGTTTCTCTGCGCAGCCCTGGCTCTCCAGGCTGGTCTCGAACTCAGAGATCCACTTGCCTCTGCCTCCCAAATCTGGGATTAAAGACACAGGTGTGCTGCCGCTGCAGCTGCTACCACCACCTGGCTGTCAGCACGAAGTTCTTTTTTTTTTTTTTTTTTTTTTTGTAGGTTTTTAAAAATTACTTAGCCAGGCGGTAGTGGTGCACGCCTTTGATTGCAGAGCTAAGGAGGCAGAGGCAGGCGGATGTCTGTGAGTTTGAGGCCAGCCTGGTCTACAGAGTGAGTTCAGGACAGCCAGGGCAACACAGTAGATAACTTTCAGGATTATCCTTCTACCATGTGGGTCACAGGGGTAGAACTTGGTCCTCTGGCTTGGTGGCCGCTGCACATTATTCCTTTCCTTTTATTATTTAAATTTTTGTTTTGTTTTGGTTGAATTTTTGTTTTTTGAGACAGTGTTTCTCTGTGTAGCCCTGGCTGTGTAGCTTGCTTTGTAGACCAGCCTGGCCTCGAACTCACAGGGAACCGCCTGCCTCTGCCTCCTGAGTGCTGGGATCACAGGCGTGAGCCACCGTTCCTGGCTATGGAAAATTATTCTAATCTTTGTCACAAGCCTGGGAGTTTACTGGGCCTCGTTTGTGCCCCTTTCTATACAAGAGGAATCTCATCACAGGTTAGACAGCTGGCCCAAGCCTGCGCCATGCTGAATGGCTGACTGACACTGACTGATACCAGCTGCCTGCTCTCAGACCCCCTTCATTCTCACCTCTGAGCCACACCATCTTTCCAATACACGGACATTTGTAAAGGTCATGGGTCAAGTCCAGCTGCCTTGCATGGCTGAGGAGACATTTCCCACCCCACCCACCCGCCGGGCCTTTCTGTGTCCTGCGGTAGAACTGGCAGGATTTGTGTTTGTGAAACACTCCACCACTATCTACAGTCCCTCGCTCCCCACCCCCACTGTGCGTGTGGCAGGGTTTCACTAAAGTGCTGGCCTTGGTCTCGCTCTGAAGCCAGGGTAATCCTTCTGCCTCAGCCTTGGGGGCAGCTGGGAATCCAGGCCTGGCTCAGCCTCCACGCTGGGCCGCAGCCATATTCACCATCAGCATCGAAAAGGTGTGGATTCTACCCTAGGACACTGCCCAGTTGCAACATTTCTGTTTGTTTGTTTGTTAGTTTGGGGAGAAAAATGTCAGGATGTAGCCTGCCTGGCCTGGAATTCACAGCAATCCTTTTGCTTCTGCCTTCCATCCCGAGTGCTGGGATTGTCAATGTGTGCCGCCAGACCAGTTCTTAGCCTTACTGAGCCTTCCTCTGTCCTCCCCTCCTGCCCTCATCTCCTTCTGTTTCCTTCCTTCTTTCCTTACTACATAGCTCAGGCTAGCTTTAGACTCCTCCTACTTCGGCCTCCTAAGTGCCAGGATTACAAGCACCAGGACCACATCCAGCTTTTTTGGTTTCTTTCTACAGTGATGTTTCTTCCTGAACTGACTTAGATTAACCCTGTCTCCTATAACATCCAGTACTCACGCTAATTAAGAGACTCCTCTTTCACTAGTTGCTGGTTAGTCTGTGAGGCAGAGACCCTGCTTGGTTATGTTTATGGTTGAGAACTTGTGCCTGGCCCTGTGCGCTCCGCAGAAAGCAGGTGCTCTTCCAACATTTGCTGAATGAGTCAATGCTGCGTAGACTCGGCCCACAGCTCATACATCTGTGATCCCAACAATTAGAGCAGGGCTGTGCTTATTCAGCGTGCAGGAGATCCTGGGTTTAATTCCCTGACATGCCACATGAGAGAGAGAGAGGGAGAGGGAGAGAGGACGTGGCCTAACTGGTGGGATGCTTGCCCGGCACGCATGAAGTCTGGGTATAATCCCTGATATCGCAGAGCTGGACATGGCCGCACGCTTCTGTGATCCCAGCACCAGAAGGTGGGACAGGAGGCTCAGGAGCTCAAGCGCGAGACCCCCGGCTGGTGTGAAACTCGATGTGTAGTCTATCTTAAATATCTCTGCCTCAGCCTCCAGAGAGCCTTGTTGATGAATTTACTTTTTTGAAATTTAGTCTTTTTTTTGGTTTTGTTTTGGTTTTGTTTTTTAGACAGGGTCTCTCTGTGTAGCTTTGGCTGTCCTGGAACTCACTCTATAGACCAGGCTGGTCTCAAACTCAGAGATCCTCCTGCTTCTGCTTCCCAGGTACTGGGATTAAAGGGGTGTGCCACCACTGCTTGGCTGGGAAAGTGTCATTTCTTAGCTGGGCATGGAGGCACACTTCTTTAATCCCAGCACTCAGGAGGCAGAGGCAGGTGGATCTCTGTGAGTTCAAGGCCAGCCTGGTCTGCAGAGTGAGCCCAGGACAGCCAGGGCTAAGCAGAGAGACCCTGTCTAAAAAACAAAACCAAAACAAAAATGTGTGTATGTTTTTATTGTTTGTATGTGCATGGGCCCATGATGTGACAGCACGTGGGCACCTTGCAGGAATCTCGTTCTACACGTGGGTCCTGGCGATCAGCGAGGGACTGCCTTAAGTCACCGAGCCATCTCGCAGAGCCCTCTCAACAGAAAGATTCGTTTTTAATGTGTGGGCACACATGTGCACACACATGCATGAGGGCAGGCCCTGCAGGGCTCAGTGACATCAGATCTGGAGCTGCAGTGGGAAGTAGGTGGGAGCCACCCGGTAAGGATGGGAAGACCTGAACTCAGCCCCCGGGAGGGCAGAGCCCGCTCTTAACCACTGAGGCACCTCTCCAGTCCTCAAAGTTCTAATATATTCCATGTAACAGATTCCAGGGTATACTTTTTCTCTAAAAAGAAACATAGGAAACGTTTCATGAATTTGTGCACCATCCTTGCACGGGCGTCATGTTGACTTCTGTGTTGTTCCATTTTTATTATATGTGCAGCTGAACGGAGCGCTGCTGGGCACATTTTAACACAAGGCCTTTCCCAGAGGCTGACAGGGTCTCAGTTCAGTGCTGACTGTAGATACCCAAAGCAAGCTCTCGTGTTCCCGTTCTCTCTGTTTGCTCCAGCTCTCTCTTCTAACAGTATTTCTTTCTGATTCTGATCTCCTGCCCCTGAAACTGCTCTTTCATTTCAGGGCTCAAATGTCAACTGAGGAAACTGAGGTTCAGAGAAGGGAACCAAGACGAGAGCCCTGTGGCTGCTGGAGACAGAAAAACCTGTGTGTATCTAGGTGCTGGTTGGGTGGAGACTCCTTTTCCGAGCTGCCTTGGATGGAGTTGGTCAGCCTTCTCCCTCCTGTCCTCTCTGAGCTCCAGACTCTTCAGCCTTAAATCAAAATGCTGGGCTGGCGCGTTAGGATGTATCCACGATCCACGTCCTGAGCCCACGGGTGACTTCGTGCCTTGACACAGAAACGTTTCTCTGGTCCCGTCATTCCACAGAGTTCTTGAGAATGCTTGTCTGTGTCCCTGCCACGCGTCTGCCGTCTGTCTCCTCACCTCTGTCTCTTCTGTTCTGCTCTGTTTGGAAGTTCTTCCTTTCTTTACGAGGGAGGAAGGGTCATTTGCCACAGCGCACACTCAGGTCTTGAACAACTTGTAGGAGTCGGCTCTTTCCTCCTACCGTGCGACCCACACTCAGGTTGTGAGGCCTGGCAGCTCGAGGCCTTCCCCACTCAAGTCTCTGGGTTAGCTCTGTTTTGTTTTTCCAGACAATTGCCACACTAACTCATATTGGACCAGCACTCAGCATGGAGCCTAGGGTGGCCTGGAACTTGAGGCAGTCCTCCTGCCTCGGCTTCCTGAGTGCTGTGACTACATGCATACCTGGCATCTTTTGTTTTTGAGATGTGTTTTCACAATGCCATCTTGGCTGGCGTTGAACTCACAGTCCACCACCTCCTAGTAACTGAGTCTTACGCGCAGACGCAGTCTGGCTCCTTTGTCCTTCTGTTCTCTCGTCTGTGGTGTCTTCTTTGTTCCCATCCCCTCTAGATTGTCACTGGAGTCATCACTGCAGAGCAGGGCTGGGCCTGGGGGCTTGGGGGCGGGCAGTGGCCACAGTAGGGGCCCGGGACATGAGCGCAACTTTCCAGGCTTCTCTTCCAGGCCCCTGTGGTTGGGGAGCTCCACCGAGGGAGAGATGAGTCAGCAAGGCCACGGAGCAGGGGGGCAGTTGGGTGGGGGGGAGGGACGCCTGGGGTTCCCCAGGGCCCAGGAGTCTGCTAAGGCCATCTGGGTCTCTGGACTCTGTGGGCGTGGGTAGTAACGGGTCAAAGGTGGCTCCTACCCTAGTAGGAGGCAGAAGGAGCGATGTGTGGAGGCCGGCTGAATCACACCTAAGCTCACATCTGCCTGTTTGCCCTTTGAGACGTCCTGTCCGCATAGCTCAGGCTAGCCTTGAACTGCTCTGTGGCTGAAGGTAACTTTAAGTGCCTGATTCTGCTGCCGAGGGATCGTCGGCGTGAGTCCGAGCGGATCCCAGAGCCGTGTCAAGGTCACTGAGTCTGTGTGCAAGTGTGTACAGCCGTGCACATGCGCGCTGGTATGGCTGGGAATGGGGGCCTTAGCATGAGCACCGCACACGCGGCACAGCTGCATCGGTGTGTGTTAGCGTGGGCGTCCGCACACTACATACCGGGAGGGGTTCTGGTTCTCCGGGAAGTGTGCCCGTCTGTGAGCCTGACTGAGTGTGATCCCTCAGGCCCGTGGGGTGACCTGGCAATTTCTCTGCTCTTCTCTGTTGAGTCTCTCTAAACAGCCTAATCCATAACAATTCCAAGGCAAGCGCCTAGGAGCGCCCATGGCAGGGGTGGGGGGTGGGAGATCGCGAGGGAGAGAGAGGGAGCCCACCTGAACAGGTGGGCACAGGCAGAGGCTGCAGAAGGAAGTGGCTCGCCTCAAGGAACAGGGTGGAAAGCCTCCCACTCTCCCCGCGTTTCACTCTCCCTCCACCTTTTCGAGATCCAACTCATTAGGGAGAACTGAAGGCAAGTTCCAGTCTCAACCCCTCCGGTCTGGGGAAGCCCACCCTGAGTCTCTCCAGGGAGGGCGGGAGGGAAGGGAGTGGTCCCCGCGGTCCTGCGGTTCAGCTGGCACTGGGAGATCAGAAAGGCACCATCCACCCGTCAAGGGACGTCCATCTCCGAGCTCAGCGTCTGGGTGGCCATGGGCGGAGGCTGAGGGGCCCCCAGGGTGGTGGTGGGGGTGGATAGAAACCAGATGCCTAGGGGGTTTATACTGGAAGGGCCAGAGCCGCAGCCGCTACCCGCGCTGCCACATGGCGCCTCTGCCTGGGCTGCCCCACCCCCGGGGAGGCTGGGCCGAGCGAGGCCTGTGAGGGTGGAGGCAGGTCCCTGGTGAGGGACTCCAGTCGCGGCCCCCGCCCCCGAGGGCACTGGAGAGGCGGTGGGGAGCAGGACCCGGGAATACCAGGTCCGCAGCTGGCTTCCCACAGGCGGGAAGTCAGAAAGCGGCTGAGGGCCGTGGAGGTGGCAGCCCTCCCTCAGGCAGCCCCTTGCCTGGCTGACGGGCGCCCAGGCTGCCCATCTGGGCTCCTACAGCAGGGCTTCTGGTCCTCCTGTCTGCCCTGGGCCCGCTCCTCCTGTTCCTTTCCTAACAAGAGGAAGGGCGGCCCTTGCCCTACCTCCACCCTCCGGGCTCTCTCCTTTCACCTTTTCCCATCCCTTGACCTTTCATTCTTTTTCATGTCCAAGCACGTCCGAGTCCCAACTGCCTCTCTCTGTTCCCTCGTGCCTCAGTTTCCCGATTGATCTCTCCTCTGTTCCTCTAGCACTGCACTGACTTCCGGCCGGCTGCCCTTTCTTCTTCCCAGCTTCCCAGCTAAAGCTCTAGCCGCACCAGGCACTTGGGCCTCAGACTCCTGCCCATCCCCCCCCCACCCCACGGAGGAGGCTCCTAGGTCATAGGAATGTCCCACCACGGGCACTTCCTTCTGGGCAGACGGGTGGGGTGGCCCGTGTAATCATCGGACACAATTATGCCCTATTTATACTCCTGCCCCGCCCCCCACCTGCTGGCAGCTCTACCTTCCAAACTCCTCCGGACCTGGCTCTTCCTCTGGCTGCTTCCCTTGTCCTCCTGAAGCCATCCTTCCTATCTTTGTTCCTCTGTGTTTGTTTCTTTTCCTTTTAAGGTGGCTTTTGTTGTTGCTGCTTTTTCTTTTCAGATCTCTCTGGGTTTTGTTTGTCTTTTTTTTTTATAAATTATTTTTATTTTATATGCATTGGTGTTTAATTTGCATGTGTGTCGGTGTGAGAGTATCAGATCTGGAAGTTACAGGCAGTTGTGAGCTGCCATGTGAGTGCTGGGAATTGAACCCCGGTCCTCTGGAAAATAGTCAGTGCTCTTAACTGATGAGCCATTTCCCCAGCCCCTGCTGTCTTTTTCATTGCCAGGGATGTCTTTCTCTCTCTCTCTCTTCTTTCTTTCTTTCTTTCTTTCTTTCTTTCTTTCTTTCTTTCTTTCTTTCTCTCTTTCTCTTTCTTTCTCTCTTTCTCTTCTTTCTTTCTTTCTCTCTCTCTCTCTCTCTCTCTCTCTCTCTCTCGAGACAGAGTTTATCTATGTAGCCCTGTCTGTCCTGGAACTTGATATATAGACCATACTGGCCCAGAACTCACAGAGACCCTCCTGGCTCTGCCTCCTAAATGCAGAGATTAAAGGTTTGTACCACCATACCTGGCCTTTATTCTTATTTTATTTACTTGTCTATCTGTCTATCTATCTGTCTGTCTATATCTATCTATCTATCTATCCATCCACCTATCTTTCTGTCTGTCTGTCCATTCATCTGTCTGTCTATCTATTGAGACAGGGTCTTACTATGTATGCCTGGCTGTTCTGGAACTTGCCATGTAGACCAGGCTGGCCTCAAACTCACAGAGATCTGCCTGCTTCTGCCCCACCAGGTGCTGGGACCACCGGCGTGTGCTGCCACCATGGCCGGCTCCTCTTCTCTTCTGGTGCTCTCCAATCCCTTTCCAGCTTCTCTCCGCCTGGTTCTCTTGCTCTGTGTGTTGTCGGGTCCTCTGGCCCTTCTGTTTTTTCTTTTGCTTCTCTCCTTTGTTTGACAGCCACCTGGTTCCTTGAACCCAGGGCTCATACCTCACCCCTGAATGTGCTCTGCCACTGAGCTACGCCCTCAGCCTCCTGGGGAAGAGCTCAGACTGGCAGAAGCCAGAGGGTCGGGGTGGACTGGCAGCTACCAGGTAATAAATATTTCAGATTTCCCTCTCCCGTCCTGATTGACATTCCTGCTTTCTCTCGATTGGCCTGGTGGCGCAGTTGGCAGTCCTGATGAAGCACTCCCAGGCAGAGGGAGGTGCTGCAGGGCCGTTGAGGAGGGAGCCAGGAGATCCCAGCCAGCCGGGAAGCACGGTGGGCCGTGAGAGGAACTAGCTACTGAAGGATGGAGATTCACCCCCTCGCTAAGGGCTGGAGGGATGGCTGAGCAGCTAAGAGCGCCGGCTGCGCTTCTGAAAGACCTGGCGGCAGTTCCCAGCACCCACACGCCAGCTCACAGCTGTCTGTAACTCCACTCCAGGGGGTCTGACACCCCCACACAGACATACATGCAGGCACAGGACACCAACGCACACGGAAAAAAAAAATCCAAAATCTGTAGCCAAGAGGACACTAGGGACGGTAACTGGTAAAGCAAGAAACGATGGAGGCATGTCTCTCCCAAGAGGCCATGAGCATGGATGACCCAATGGCCTTCTGCCCTGACCCTCCTGCTTCCCTTAATCTTCTCGGGCCCCAGGGCCTGCCTACACACTGAGGGCCCAGGTCTCCTTGCCTAGTGGTGAAATCAAGCGCCCCCCCCCCCCCCCCCCCCCCCCCCCCCCGTCCTCTGCTGGGGCAGGTTCGTCCCGCTCTGCCTCCCTCGCTCCAGGCTGGCTCTCGAATGTAACTCCTTGACAGTGAAAGTTT